GAGACAAACTATATCCTGTAGATAAACGCTCCTGAGATCATAACCAGTTAAAGCAATCAATTCAAAGACAACTTCATTTGGAAATTCATAAATAATCTGTGACACAGAGGGCCAGCTGGTTAGCTCAGTTGGTAGACTGTGGTGTTGATAACACCAAGGTCAACAGTTCCAATCCCCAAACTGGCCAGCCGCCAAAAACAAAACTAAAAATACTAAATGACTACCACGAACAATCTATGACACAGAAAGATTTTATTAAAAATTGTTCACCAAAACCAGAAAAAAGATGTATGAAAGAACTTCTAGGAAGAGAAATTTTGCTATTCAAACTATAAAGCATAAACAATATCACAGGGTACACGTTTAATCCAAACAAGTACTTTTTCAAAAGCACTTGCACATAGTAGCTGTTGATGGCTGCTATTAATTATGAAGGAATTTTATCTTCATTAGAGCAGGTCCAATGGTGTCTCTACTTACACTATTTATTAAAAGTAATCCAAATTTTTCTTAATAAACAAAAACAGCAATTTAGAGTTGCCACTAATTTAATTAATTTACTAACTGGGGCAGCCGTTCCCAAAGTGGTCCATATGGCTGCATTTCTATCAAGAAAAGGGTTCCAATCAAGTCTGGAAAAAGATTTTTTGAAGGGTCTCATATTAGCATAGGAAAACTTCTGAGAGGGCCCAAAGTAAAGGGCCTGTTGTACTTTGTTTAACCAAGTTTCCCAAGTGATCCTAGAATCCTAGAACCTTTTTTTTTCCCCCCTCAAGAGAGACTATGAACATCTTACCTGATTAATCCTCCACGGTATACTGACATAGAAACCTCTCGGGAAAATCCCATTTATGGGGTCTGAAACCCTCTGACAATACTGTCTACCCATTTTCCTTTCTCATGGGAAACAGATGGATTAGCAGACTATTTATTGCTTGCTGGTCAATGTACACAAGGATCTCGGTGCAACTTCCTAGAAGGTGTGCCCATATTTGCCACAGGGGCAGAGGGGAGTCCCTGTTAAAGTTCCCTATGCTCAGAAATCATCTTTGCTTGCTTTTGACACTTCTATAAAAGAATAAGGAGAAAGCTGCTTCCCAGAGTCTGAGTAAGAAGCATGCTGAGGATGGAAGTCAGCACAGGCCCCTGAAACAGGGTGGTGATATCCCTCCCAATCTACCCTTGAGATGGCAGCCTGGCGGGCCCTTAGACAAGAGAAGAGGTGGCATCCAGTCATCCACCCCAGTCACCGTGGGCAAAACACCAGCTCCAGAGCCATCACACACTGAGTATGCCCTCCTTGGCACAGCAGGCGGGAGCAGAGAAGGCCAATCTGGGTTCATCTCAGGGCTGCATGATTGGAAAGACAAGGCTTACGATCCCCTTTCACCAGCCTCCATTTCTAAGAGCCTTGACATTGATCTCACTGTGATCGAAAGGAACCAAAATACAGTGTGTCTGAAAGAGGGGGCAGCCCCCACCTCGCCAGGCAATAAAGCAAATGGACTCTGAGAAATTTTGTAATAAGACAGGCATGGATCTCAAGGAGAAGACAGAATTTGGCCCAGTTGTGCAGCATCCAAAACCCCACAGGAAACCAACATCTGTGTGACTGCAACTCCTTGTCATTCATAATAAGAGGTTTCTCCAGCTCAACCTTGGGGCTCAGTGGGGGGTTGTCACAGACAATCACCTCCTCCCCCAAAGTAAACTTACTCCACAAGGAATTTCTTCTAAGCAAAACCACTTGAAAGCCTTAAGAAAATGCTAAACCCAAAATACTTTTATAAATTCTGAAGTTACATGGCTCAGTGAAGCACTCTGAATTTATAAAAAAATTCTGTGCTCTTCAAATCTGGTGTACTACATGCGTTTCTTATTCATTTTAACCACATCAAGAAATCCC